CAAAGAGAAAAGTGGAAGGCAGGTTAGATTGTATTAGGCCACCAAGAAAGAAATCATAAGAATAATAATGGCTGGTAAAAGAAAAATATCATCCCTGGATGAATTTTCCCCAAAAAAAGTTTTTAAATGGCCTCTAGAAAGTTCAAAATGCTTTTCTTTACTTATGCTAAAACCTGACCTGGTTTTATTTCAGGCATGCCTATGAATAGTTTTGCATCAAAAGTCTGCTGAAGTGCATTGAATAGCTTTTTGTTTGTGATCTAGGAGTCTATTCCTATTCTTTCCAAGTTATTTCTGCATCTGGTACCAAAGTGTCTGTAAAAGATGAAATGATAAGAAGCATGTCTACTTTATTAATAGCTGTGTTACCCACTGGACTTTCAAGAGCTTAGGCTCTAGTCACTTCACAAACGGAGTTCCAAAACCTGGGAGCTGCCACCAAGAATGCCCTCTCCTATATTATTATGCTCCCGTGATCTTAAAAGTCAGTATTTCATGACCTCCAGTATTTTCAAATTGCCTTTGTTGGTTACATTTTTAAAGTATGTAGGTTTCTCATTATTCAAAATGAGCTGAAATGTTTCTATCTTAGTTACATAATTAAAACAAAACTTGGAATTGTATGAGCCATTGCCTAAGACAAAACACTTTGAAATAGCAAATCCACAGACATCCTGCAACTTCAGAAAAGCAACAGGATTACCTTGGAAGGAATCCCACTGGAGCATTGCAGCACACCAAAATACCTAGGAGTTACCATGCTCTGACATTTAAAAAGCACTGCTTGAATATCAAGCAAAAAGTGGGTGCCAGAAATAATATCATAGGAAAGCTGACCGGTACAACCAGACATTGTGAAGACATCTGCTCTTGCGCTTTGCTATTCTGCTGCTGAATACGCATGCCCACTGTGGAATACATCTCACCTCACTAAAACAGTGGATGTGGCTCTTAATGAAACATGTCACATTATCACATGATGTCTACACCCTACACTACTGGAGAAATTATACTGTTTAGCCAGTATTGTACCACCTGACATCCGTCAGGAAGTAGCAGCAAGTAATGAAAGGACTAAGGCATTGATGTCTCCAGCCCATCCTCTGTTCGAATATCAGCCAGCAATCCAACACCTTAAATCAAGAAACAGCTTCCTAAGACCTACAGAGATACTCGCAGGAACAACTCAGCAAGCGAGAGTCCAAAAGTGGTAGGCAAAAACCTAGAACTTCAATCAGTGACTGATACCGGATGAGAGACTCCCTCCTGGGCACACAGAAGAGTGGAAAGCCCTGAACAGGCTATGCTCTGGCACCATGAGATGCTGAGCTAACTTTACGAAATGGGGTTACAAAGTGGAGTCCACAACATGTGAGTGTGGAGTACAGCAAACCACAGACCACCTACTACAATGCAGTCTGAGCCCTGCACAATGGAGGACCTTCTCACAGTGACACTAGAGGCACTCCAAGTGGCCAGCTTCTGGTCAAAGGGCATTTAGCATAATGTCAAGTTTTTAACTTTGCTTGTACTTTTAAATACATTATAACTGTACCCCATCGGCTTCCAACACAATAAATAAATAAATAAATAAATAAATAAATAAATAAATAAATAAAGCAACAAAGTTATCTCTGATTACACCACAATTCTAGTATAATTTAGTTGTTTCTAAAAAGAATTATAAGCATCTTGTTCTTTGTATCATGTGACTCCCAAACTCTGTTCAATTATGGTTATATACATATATGCATCCCATCTTTCTTTTTTCACAAGTGAATGGCAGTGAAAATTTTGCTGAATTTCATTAAAGGGTTAGTTTAACTGTGTTTTTTTTAAAAAAAAATCCAGAGTATCTCCAGCAATCATATCTTTTTGGAGATTTCACAGTACATTTTGTATTTCTTTGGCAGCTGACACAATATATATGTATCGATCATTCCCCTTGTACAGATCATTGTATTTTATTGCTTATCTAAACCTAGGGCTTAGGCTATAACACAGAGGGATAAAGAATGTTGGGTAGAGAGTGAGGGAGAAGCATGGTGCCCTAAATTATTTTCTTACCAAGACATTTTGTTAAGTATTAGTTATAGTGGTATAAGGATGAAATGGTTATATAAGCATTAACTATGTTGTTCTTAAAAAGTATTGGTGTCCTTTACTTGAATCGCAAACTAATTGTGACAAGCCATGACAAAAAAAATATTCTTGTATGTTTTCCAGTTTACTAGCAGAGGATCAAGGGCTGTGGTGTCACCTTTTGCATGGTTTGATAAGAGTCAAGTTTATTTATGGTGGATTGTAAAAACCACAAAAGAGCTTTAGGGCAACTTTCATGTGAGTTGCATTTCCTCTCCTCCGCAAACTGGAAATGACTGGAAGTTCACTTCCAGTTTTGAAAACAAAATATAAAAACTGCCCTCTCCCAAGTGTAGGTATACCAAAAGAAAGGCCTTTGTAAAATATAAATCATTTTTTTCTGGAGAGGGGAATTTGTATGGCAATGCATCTAACTCATTTTGTCCCTACCTCACTCTCAATTTAAACAGACGAATGATATAGAACTTCAATACCCACAATTAATTGAAGCATTCCTAACTAATGTACATTTATTTATTTATATTTATATATCACCCAATCACCCAGTGGTTCTCCAATATTCATCTTTCAGCTGCTTTGGGCTCCCAGAAGTCCCAACCAGTTAGCCAGCAATCAGGAATTCTGAGAGGTGAAATGTCAAACTTCTGGAAATCCAAAGTTTTGGAAACACTGCTTATTGATGCAGTTCTCTGAGTCATTGATAGGTAACGTTTAAACCCCTAAAAGTTAAAACATGTGGAAGATCAAAACTAAATAAAGCAAGTTAAGAGGTTTTATCCTGAAAACCAATCCTATGAGGAACAGCTTAGGAACCCAGGTATGTTTATCTTGGAGAAGACTGAGAGGTGATATGAGAATGACTAGATTCAGTGCTGATCATTTAATTCAAGCCAAGAAATAGGATTCACATATCTGGATGGGCAGTCAAGCAACCTATACCCCAACTGGCCTGATTTGGCAAAGACAATCCCAATTAATCCTTTGTCATCTCACAGAGTCACAGTCAGAAGATACCACAAGAGCCATGTAGCCCAATTCCCTGCCTTGCGGGAGCACACAATGAAAGCACTCCCAACAGATGGCCACCCAAGCTTATGCTTAATAACCTGCAGAGAAGATGATTCAACCACTCTGAGGAGGCCGTATAATTCATTGCCAAACTGCTCTTACCATCAGGAAGTTCTTCCTCATGTTTAGTGGAATCTCTTTTCATGCAGAGTGAATGTAGTGCTCTATATCCTCCTGTATTGACAAAGCATGTTTATTAACCAGAGCTTGAAAACAACTACAGTCAGTCCTGTACATTTGCTGAGTTTTGGATCACAGAACTTCTGTGAAAGTAAAAACTTCAAACAAATGAATTGCTATTTTTTACCTGAGAAAACACCTCTCTAGGAATAGCTGGTTTCTTCAGTATGACTCCATGATCAAATTCTGCTGGATTGCACTGGAAGGCCTCCAGATTCCTATAGAGATTTCTTTCTAGGAATCTCTAGGTCCTCCAACATGACTTTGTCCTCAACTTTTGGCCAAATTTAACCATTGAGTTGCACTGGAGTGCCTAGATATATTGCTAGAGAGAACATTTTAAATAAATACACAAATAATCAAATCTGCAAAAGTCAAATCTGGAAATGAGGAGTGTGGACCGCACTCACATCTTGTGGAAGGATTAAGGGGAGGTGCTGTTCTGCAGAGGAGGAAGGTAGAATGGCTCAACGATGGCTCTTCTGTAGGAAGAAAGGAAGCTCTGTCTACTTGTGTCATCTGAGGGCAAGTATGAAATGCTGGAGACAGAGAATCTAGAGAAGAGAATTGAAAGGTCAGGGAGACTGAAGAAGATAGATGAATTAGATTTGCCTGCCCATCTCTCTTCCTGAAACAACTACAGCAGACACACATTGTTCCGACCTCTCTTCATACTTGAAGTTAAATATATTGAAGTAACCTGCAACCCCTACTATTTACAATTGCTTCCATATTGCTGAAAGTAACTTAAAACTATTGAAAAACCTTTTGATGGCACTGATGATAGGATGGGACAATGGTGACAACTAAACGCTTTGCTCTTCATAAATTCTGTAGTTTCTTTAAAAACTAATGTGTTGATTAATAATTAATTAATTAATTAATTATTAGCACAAGAAATCACATTTCTATTTCCAAGGATAAGAATCAATGAATTACCCTCTATCCATCTGTCATCAAAACTAAATTCGTTTTAAATCTCATGTTCCATGTTTTACGATCAATAAATTATTATTATTATTATTATTATTATTACTTTATTTGTACCCCGCTAGCATCTCCCGAAGGATTCGATGCGGCTTACAATAGGCCGAAGCCCAACACAATACAACAATACAACATCTAGCAAATAAAAACAATTAAGCAGAAAAACAATAACAATGGCAATACGACAAGACATTATTAAAAACTGAGTCGGCCGAAGTAGGGGTACAAGGTTAAAAGTGCTGATGTGTCGGAGGGATGTGGGATTATGATATAAGTGCGTGTGCAGTGTGCGGTGATTTTGGTACTAAAGTGCTTCTGGGATTTGGTACTGGGAGAATTCCTAATCTGAAAAGGCACATTGGAACAGCCAGGTTTTCAAATTCTTCCTGAAGACTGCCAGTGTAGGGGCTTGTCTGAGATCTTTCGGGAGGGCGTTCCAGAGTTACTGGCGAACTCTGTGTGGGTGAGCTTCCCATTGGTGCATACGATAGGCACTGCAGGAATAAAATATGGAACTCTATAAACCTGGGAAGATGTGTAGTTCTTGCGACATTGCAGGGCTTCTTCATTTTTTAGAAGCCAGAAGTGTCAATATTAAGCTGTGTTTCCTTATTGTTTTAAATTTTATTTTGAATGACCAGCAAAACATTTCTATTTTCCAGACTGCATTTTTTAACATGGAGCAAAATTCTGAGCAAAGAAAAGTTCCCTATGGTTCCTTGAGTCTTCGAAATTCTTCTGTAAGTTCACAGTCAAGAAGACAGCAAGCCACCCCAGCAAACAGTGAACACATCAATCCCCCAGATCAACCAACAGCAAGTTTAACGGTTGTACAGACAGCTTCTGACCAATCTTTACACCAGAATAAGCCTGCTGTCTCTTGTGCAGATGAAAGGTTCAGGTAAGCAAACTGTTAATTTTAGAATGTAAAAAAATACAATCTGCTATACTTTAAAAAATGTCAAAACAAACCACTAAGAAGCCAGTGATCAGTGTTGGGGATTGATGAATGGACCTTTGAAAAGTAGGGCCAAGATTAGGGGAAGCCTCTACACACAGCCCCAAAATGGCAGAATTGGACCACCAAGACTCCTATTTATTTCAGCCTCTATTGGAGATATCAATGAGATTTTTTCTTTTGACTGAAGAGGCCAATGCATTAACCAGAGATCTCCTAAACCAGTGGTTCTCAACCCTCCTAATGCTGTGACCCCTTAATACAGTTCCTCATGCTGTGGCGACCCCTCAACCATAAAATTATTTTTGTTGCTATTTCATAACTGTAATTTTGCTATTGTTATGAATCGTCATGTAAATATCTGATATGCAGGATATATTTTCATTCACTGGACCAAATTTTGCACAAATAACCTATACACCCAAATTTGAATACTCGTGGGGTTTGGGGGGGATTGATTTTTGTCATTTGGGAGTTGTAGTTGCTAGGATTTATAGCTAACTTACAATCAAAGAGCATTCTGAACTCCACCAACAATGGAATTGAACCAAACTTGGCACACAAAACTCCCAAGAGAAAATACTGGAAGGGTTTGGTTGGCATTGCCCTTGAGTTTTGAAGTTGTAGTTCACCTACATCCAGAGAGCACTGTGGACTCAAATAATGGCAGATCTGGGTCAAACTTGAAACAAATACTCAATATGCCTAAAAAGAGAACACTGCTGGAGATTGGGGAAAGTATCCTTGACATTTGGGAGTTGTAGTTGCTGGGATTATAGTTAACCTACAATCAAAGAGCACTCTGAAGCCAGCCCACAATAGATACTGGTGAGGTTGGGGGGGGGGGCTTTTTTTGAATTCTGAGAGTTATAGTTCACCAACACCAGAAAGGAAGAGAAGGGCAGGCAGAGAGATCTTCAGCCTTCTCTGCCAAAAGAGTCCCTAAGACCATCAGAAATATGTGTTGTCTTATGGTCTTTGGCAACCTCTCTGAAACTCACCTCATGACCCCCCCCCCCAGGGGTCCTGATCCCCAGGTTGAAAAACGCTGTTCTAAACAGGTTTATGATCTGCCACTCAGCAATAGCCCCTTCCATAGTTGCATCTAAGGAGGAGGAGCCTTTGTTGAAGTGACCCAGTAATTGTTTTTCCTTTTCATTTTATTCTAGTTCTGCTGAAAATAAGGGAGGAGAAACAATGCCTGACCATGAGGATCCTTTTCATGCCACTGCCGATAAAGAAAAGGATATTGCATTCCTCTTAAAGGAATTGGATGTTCTAAGGGCAAACAATAAAAAGGTACAGTGAAAATATTCTAGCACAGCCTATTAACCTACTCTAATTTTATCTTTATTGTTTGTTTTGATTGACAAGATACCACATTTGTCTCATGATTTATTTATCTTGGAGTAGTTTTCCTGTCTGCCGTTGAGTCTTTTTTCATCAAAGGCATCACAGATACTGTAACGGCCATGCAGTTCTTCTCCAGCTTAGGATTCTTGGAAATTTGAAATGGTGGAACTTGTTTAGAAACTGGCATAGTTTCACTGAACACTGAATCATCCCCACTCAACTGTGGATCAAGATTAATCATATTTCCATGAAACAATAGAAAGATCGTAATTTGCAGTGATGATTAAGAGATTAATTCTAGATCACTGCACTTACATACTAGAACTATTAGATCCACATCTCAGTACAATCAGTTTCTACAAAACTTTTAGAATAAATAGATCAGCTAAAGCATCCTGGAGATGTGCTTCATTGTGTAATCAAACACTGAGTGTTATATTTGAAATTAATTCTTCTATAGATAGTATTATTATTATTAGTAGTAGTAGTAGTAGTAGTAGTAGAAGTAGTATTGCTTATCCTCACTATACAGCAACTGTTGAATTATCCTAGAATGAGGAAAGCCCATAACACCTTTTGGGTATTCAAATATAGATCATGAGAAATGAAAGTACATCTGTAGCACTGAGTGCTCAAATATATACCCTTATTGTACTTATATACAAATGAAACACCTGTTCATTACAAAAGGGTTTTTACAAGTTTTGTTTCCCTGTAGGTTCTTGTTTTATATAGTAATTGAAATATGTACATAATTGACTTTATTAGTTAATATTTAACTTTTACAACTGTGATCCTGCAATACAAGGAATTGGACATGTGGCCCAGTGTGCTTTTCGTTGTTTTTTCTCTTCTTGTTAAAAACAGTAGCCATTTACTTGAGCTGCAGTCTATATCATTTTTGAATTTCATAGGCACCTTGTGGCAGGACATGGGCACATGTTAGCATGCAAATGAGAAAACCCAGTTACTTATGCAAATCTTGGCTGCTATCAGATTCTGCCCTAGACTGGGGTGGGCAAGTCTTAGCCTTGAACTGCAACCCCACCCCTGAAAATTCAGCCATTCAAACTGGAGAAAAGGCCTGAACTTGGTGCTGGATTAAAACTACCGTATATATTCATATAGAAGTTGACCGCATTTATAAATTAAGGGCATGCTTTGGGACCAAAATGATGGATTTTTATATGGCCCAGGAATAAGTCAAGGGTCACTTTGCTAAGAAGAGAAAGCACTAATTTCAGTCTAGGTCTCAGAAAAGTCCCAAAGTGGTGACAAGATGGAGAGAGTAAATGGGGCCAGTGTTCCTTTCTTATTCTTATTTTCCCCTATTCATAAAATCATAGAATCATAGAGTTGGAAGACACCTCGTGGGCCATCCAGTCTAACCCCCTGCCAAGAAGCAGGAAAATTGCGTTCAAAGCATCACCAACAGAAGGCCAACCAGTCTCTATTTAAAAGCCTCCATAGAAGGAGCCTCCACCACACTTCGGGGTAGAGAGTTTCACTGCTGAACAGCTCTCATAGTCAAGAAGTTCTTCATCATGTTCAGGTGGAATCTCCTTTCCTGTAGTTTGAAGCCATTGCTCCGCATCCTAGCCTCCAGGGCAGCAAAAAAACAAGCTTGTCCCTCCTCCCTATGACTTCCCCTCACATATTTATACATGGCCATCATGTCTCCTCTCAGTCTTCTCTTCTGCTGGCTAAACATGCCCAACTCTTTAAGCTGCTCCTCACAGGGCTTGTTCTCCAGACCCTTGATCATTTTAGTCACCCTCCTCTGGACACATTCCAGCTTGTCAACATCTCCCCTCAATTGTGGTGCCCAGAATTGGACACAATATTCCAGGTGTGGTCTAACCAAGGCAGAATAGAGGGGTAGCATGACTTCCCTGATCTAGACACTATACTCCTATTGATGCAGGCCAAAATCCCATTGGCTTTTTTAGCAGCAGCAGCATCACATTGTTGGCTCATGTTTAACTTGTTGTCCACGAGGACTCAAAGATCTTTTTCACATGTACTGCTGTCGAGCCAGGAGTCCCCCATTCTGTATCTTTGCATTTCATTTTTTTCTGCCTAAGTGGAGTATCTTGCATTTGTCCCCATTGAACTTCATTTTGTTAATTTTGGCCCAAGGAACTTCACTCAAAGATGGTTTCTTTTAAAAAAAAGAGTTAAGTTACGGTACCTATCATATATACTCGCGTATAAGTCGACCTTGTGTATAATTTGAGGCCATGGTTTGACTTGTGAGTCAGCTGAGGGTTATTCTTGATAAGATGAAAGCACCAATACTGTTTCAACAGGCCAGCTGCCACTGTTTTTTGCCACCGCCACCCTTTATCCCACCCAAGTATTCAAAAATGCCAGAAGCCGAATTACAGCAGTGAATAGAGTGGGTTGCTGGGTTTTTTTTTTTAAATGGTCTCCAAGGATGAACTAAGCTCTTGCCTTTTGCTTGCTTACTTAAATAAAGGGATGGCTCATTCTTTGCTAAGAATTTAGGTACAGTACTCATATTGACCTATGGATAAGTCAACCCAGTTTGGGGGGGGGGGGGAAGTGTTGTTTGTTTTTTTTTTTAGAAAAAAATCTGGACTTTTACATGGATATATATGGTACATTGACCTGTGGATAAGTCAACCCAGGTTTTGTGTTCAGTGTTTTGGTTTAAATGTCTAGACTTGTGTGTGTAGATACACACACACACAGTAGTTGCTTGATCCTGTTCAGTATCCCACTTAATTACTGAGGTGCTTAGTAAATACACTTGGGTTTTGCTATGCATGCCCTGTCCCTATGGCACCTCCCCTTAGTTGTGTTGAGGTACAACCTATACCATTTCCAGTTTGGTTGGCCAATAACTGAGAACGGTGGGTTTTAAACCAACACAGGTGAGGGATACCATATTGGGGAAAGCTACTGTAGCCAACATTGTCCACTAACTTATTTTTTTATTTATTTACTATATTTCTATCCCACACTCTCTCAACCCAAAGGGGACTCAGAGTGGCTTACAGTTGGCAAAATGCAATGTCGCATATTCAAACATATATACAATAAAATGCATTATATAAACAATATACAAAAAAATAGGAATAAATTAAAGTCGTAGTTCTGGGACCAGGCTTTTGGACAGCAGGCATAAATAGCAGTTTGGATATGAAAATTGACTGGAATGGTGATACGGCGGTTAATACTGTTTTTATTGTTTTAATCAATGTTCTATTTATATTTAATGGCATCAAATTGTGCCAAATGTAAGCTGTCCTGAGTCCCCCTTCAGAGGTTGAGAAGGATGGGGTAGAAATGCTGGAAATAAATAAGTAAATAAATAAATCAGATAAAAAACATATAAATACCATAAAACTATTATATCTAGTCCTACAGTCGTCATTTGTGTTGCTACATTATGTTAAATCCATGTTGCACTACCCAAATGCCTGATTCCATAGCCAGATCTTCACTTTTTTTCCTGAACTTTTTTCAACCCAGAAAATTAAACTGGAAAGCAGAGTTACTTTGAGAAAATTAAAGCACATTGGCTGAAAATGGTTAAGGACCTCATTTTTTTTATTTAGATAAAATAGTTTTTATACAGTTTTGTTTAAAAATTGTTTAATGATGAAGTAAGCATATGTTTTGTTGTGAGTTAATAGGCTGCCTACATACTTTTAGAAATGGCCAATGGCCTTACAGTCTATTTGTTCAATTCAGCTTCAGGATAAGCTGTCTGAAAAGGACAAGGAGCTGAAGACAATAAAGTTGGACTTAGAACTGCATGAGAGAGTGACAGAAGCGAAGATTGCAGAAAAGGCTGCAGGTACAGTAGATGAACGCTCAACAGATGTCCATATGGCTCAGACAATCCGCCTGGCTGCTGTATGGCGTGGCCTCATGAACATTAGGTATATTTGCTAAAGGAGGGGTGGTTTGACTTCTTTATGTGAGGCTGTTTAAAGTTGCTTAGAAAATAGGTGGCTTTAACATCCTGGTACCGGTATTAGTATGAGCTTTACCTGTATTCATACTGATTTGGGCATTAAATGCATTGTTAACACCATGTCAATCCAATCACAAAAAGGGTGTTTGTTTTGTTGGAAGGTCCTGAACAAACAAGGGGAAAATGATTACCACGGCCTCTACCTTTCAACCAGCAGTCCAAATATCCATTTATTGTTTTAGCTTTTCTCTCCCCTAGCCCAGCGTGGTACTACAACAGGTCCCTCCACACACCTTCATATGGGGATATGCCTGTGCCCCCCTCAAATCAAGACCTGGGTTGAGGGGAGCGCAGTTCAATGGGTGGAAAAATCTGGGTTTTGGGTAATAAAAGAGATGCTGTTTGAGGATGATGACTTTTGAGCCACAAAGCTTTATTACACGTTCCCCATGGTGACAAACTGTTGAATGGTATCATATTACAGAGAAGCCAATAATTTGCATATGGTTTAGAGGTTGTTTTCATAATATCAGTTTCATTCTGTTTTAAAATAATCATTTCATTTTAAAGGTTAGTATGCGAATGGCAGCTGTATAGCTCAAGATATTGCACAGCTGTGATACTGCTAGCAAGGAGGTTTGAGCAAGAGGCACAATGGATATTGTACTCTTGATGACAAGGAAGAAAGTCATGCTATTCAGATAATTCTCAGCGATAATATTGTGATTAATCATAGGCAACTTGCATAACTGAAAACGTCAACAATGTTTGAACTATTCAAAGTTTCTTGGTGATTTAAAAATATCCTGTCCACATTTCCTTGGCAAAGTTAATGGAAGTAGGTGGGTGGAGATAGCAGAATAGAGTCTTCAGTTGTGAAAGAGATTGAAATCAAGGAATGGGGACAGTGCAACCTTTTAGATGGCATTACACTACCATTCTCAAACAGTCTTAGCTAACACAGCCAATGGTGAAGAATGCTGGGAGCTGCAATTCAGAAAAACCTAGAAGGCCACAGCATACCTGCTCTTATGCTGAATTTGACATAGGTCCTACTTAAAGTAGCCCCACCAATATTATTAAGACTTAGTTAACCTGTAATTAGCAACTGAAATTCTTTTCAGTGGCCCTAACCATGAAAAACTATATTTGCACTATTAATCAGGGAGCCAGAAGAATTCTGGATGAAAACCAGGGACATTGTCAGGGAAGAATGCAGAAAGGCACTACCTGCAGCCAAAAGGAAGAAAGGATTCATTGGATGACAGATGAAACTCTTCAAACAGTTAAAAACAGACAAGAAACAAAAGTAAAGAGGAATAGAAATAGGATGAGAATGTGCACAGGGACAAAGAAAACTGCTGCAATAATCAACTCAAAGAAATAGAAGAAGACAACAAAAAAAAGTTAAGAATAAGAAATCTGTCCATAAATATATGACAAGTGAAAGGGAAATGTAAACCAAAAGGATCATATATCATAATCATATATAACCAGCACAGAAAAAATTACATGATTAAGAAGTAATGTAAAGACAAGGGAAGCAATACTTTCAAGAACTGTATAACACCAAGTAGAATCACTTGAAAGTGAACCCATACATTGAATATATGAAGCAGAACAGATGGCATACCAACAGACCCTTTTCAGGCTACATTGACAGTATCCACTCAAATTATAACTAAAATCTGACAGCAAATAGTGAAAACAAAACAGTGCCCTGCAAATTAAGAGCACTTACGGTAATATATCTCTTTTATTTATTTTATTTATTTTCTTTATTTTTATCTTGCCTTTTTTCTAATACAGGGACTCAAGACAGCTAAAATAAATATCAATCAATGCTCATAAAACAAAGCAAATTCATTGCCTTTAAAACACAATTGTTGCTTGTGTATAAACACTTGACGGCAGAGAAATGTTTTACTTGCAAATGCAAGGTGAGCAGGAATGGGGCCATCCTGGCCTCTCTAGGAAGGGAGTCCCGTAGTCTGGGGACAGCCTTCTCCTTAGTTCCCACTAAACGAGTTGAGAGTGTGGTGAAACAGAGAGAAAGCCCTCTCCAAATGAGTGTAGTATTCTAATAGGCTCATTAACAGAGATTCAGCCCTTCAAATAATTTAGCTCCAGTCAAAGGGCCACAAGGCATTGCATTAACCACCAGAGCATTGCATTAATCTCCCATTCAGCCGCCCTGAGTCCCCCCTAGGGGGTTGAGAAGGGCGGGGTAGAAGCACTCCAAATAAATAAATAAATAAATTCAAGCAAAGTGATCCTCAAAATCAACAAAGATTTTTTCCATAGATGGAGGAAGGAGTGCCAGTTGTCCAAGCTGGGTTCAGCAATGGAAGAGGCACTAGAAAACATATTGCAAATATATATTGCATAATAGAGCATATTAGAAAATTTCAGAAAGAAATCAGTCTGTGATTTGTAGAATATAGCAAAGCCTTTGAATGTTCAGATTATGGAAAACTATAGATTTCTCTTAAAGTAATGGGTGTGTCTCAACATTTGTTTTTCTGTTCTCATCAAGAACTGGCTTGACAGCAACAATATATTGTGGTCTAACATTAGTCCTAACTAAAAAATAGCCACCGATATTCATTAGTCTTAGATAAAATATAATTAATAACTCCCATTAATTTGATGAGTCTTATCTAATCGGATTTATCTGATTATCCCTTGGGATTTTACTGTGTCTGTGATTATGTATCTGTAATAGTCTCTGTGTATCTATGATAGAGAATCCTAACATTTTCAGCAAGGCCAATAATTTTCTAACAGTGGCAGAATCCTAAGTATTTGCAACTCCAATTAAATATATTTATCATTACCCTATAGATCTTTTTGAGTCACCATAAAACACTTATCTAGATCATAGTTACATCTTGATTATCCACCAACTAAACATTTACAGTATGTGAACTGTTTGGATTAAATTCAAAGTTATGTGTTTGTTTTGGGGATGTTTGCACAGAGTTTTACTTCTGTGCATATAATAGTGAAATATTTTATTCAGTATAGACATTTCTTGCTCATTGAAACCTATTGAAAAAATGGTAGATAAAAGCATATGTGCCTTGATCAAGCAATTGTGGTGGTCCATGTACAGAAGTGCCATATTGTAAGGATCACCTTGAGGATAGGAATCTATGGGCTGCTTATGAAAAAAGTATGTATCCTACATCTAACATGGTATTGGATATTCTTGGACCTGGGACTTGTGTTCTGCATGAATATTCCTGGGCATTAGATCCTGTGTGGTGTTTATGGGGAAACTGGCAATCTTGCATTTAGTATTGATGTATTATATCCTTTGCAGACACCTCTAATGGTTTCTGCTACCAATAATATGCTCAAAAGTGGAAGTAGTTATACCTTTAAATTAAATTAGCTTAGTTTGATAATTGTGCTGTTGTACATTACTGGGACTTTCTGTGGATATCTACTATTAGTTACTACATGTTTACATGAGCAAAGGAAAAATCAAATGTTTTAATCATGTGTGTTTAAAAAAATCATATTTATATTCTGCTCTTCCATCCAATAGTTAAGCTCCAGGGAGATATTATATATATACAGGTATCTTTTGGCATTTGAAATCACTAAACGAAAGTACTCAAGAGGAATGCTGTCAGATACTACCATGCACTTTGAGGAAAGAAAAATTGACATGATAGAAATCTGTAAAAATCTGAAGAAGACTAGGAGCTAATTACTAGTCAACTAGAATTTGAATTCGCATTGTATCTGCATTGCAACTTTTGTAAATATTACCTATACCTAACAAAGTTATATATGCCTTTGGGTACGATCGTATAGGCTGTTTATTGTGTTTACATTGCAGTGAATTAAATTGTGGATGAAAGGCGATTCCATCTGAAATTCAAGATTGCATTGCCTTTTCAGCAGAGCAAATGTCTGCAAAGAATTTAAACTTTCTGCCGTATGCTCAGCTCTCCAGAGCATATGCTCATAGAAATTGCTAGATCATTTGTTGATGCTGGAAAAAAAGGTTAAGAAGAAAGAGAATGCAAAAGAACAGATGATGGAATAAAACAGAAAAGAAATGAGAAAACATCCTACCAGTGAGGATGCCCATCTGTGGTTATCACATTTGACCCACTGGAATAGATTTGAAGTTCTAATATAATGAAGTGAATGGTATTGGATAGGCTTAGTCCTCGAACCGTGCTCAGATTTCATCGTAGTTACTGATTTCCTTCGGATTTGTTGTTTACGTATCACATTTCTTGTATCTGGAACAAAAATGGGAATAGCAATGAATGAATAATGAGTAAAAATTAAGATCAATTTTGAATGCATTCTTAAAGAAATATGATTATTGCCAGCCATATTTTCCTTTAATCTCCAAGTAGAGCATTCTCCTTGGTCTGTAAATTTTGATTTTAAAACTATGTATACATATATAATATATATAGTCATTAATTGGTTTTATATTTCTTATTATAGTTCTCTTCCAAATCATTAATTGGTTGTGTGTTTCTTATTATATTTCTCTTTTCAAAATGCTGTGTACACCACTCTGTGATCATTATGAAGTCAAATTTAAAAGCTGTGGAGGATCCTGCCTGGTGAGCTATGCTAACAACCAGTGTTTTTCAAATAGAGAATCCACTATAGTGAAGACAAGGACAGAGGCTTTCATTACAATCTGCAGAAGGGATGCAATATACAGCAAAGAATGGCAAAATGTACAAGCATAACCATATTAGAATGTGTAACCATTTTTATACAGTAAAAAGTCCATACATTAACATTGTCTCTGTTTGGATTTTCCCTCCCCTACTTGTGATTGGCTGAGTGCCAAGGCTGGTGGGCTGCCCCCCTCACTCCTGATTGGTTAAGAGGCAGGA